TTTAACTCGTCGAGTACCGGTTTTGTAGACACAATTATAGAACAATAGGTTGCGGTCACCGGTGACCGCTTGGTGTTTGACAGTTTAAACTAGACTTGGTTAAAATAACAGTTATTTCCAGTTATTATGATCCTTGTAGACTCTTCAGACTAAGATGACGTGTTCTTAACAGTTTAGAATTGTTCATGGTAGGGAGTTACCAAAGTCACCATTATGTTGGAATGGAATTTCTTATATGTAACAAAAAAAGTTATTAATAAAAGTATAAAGTACACTACAATACCACTTATTTTATACAAACATGCTATTCAAGTACAAATATAATAATAATATTTAGTAACCATGGAAATATCACAGTAAAACGTTTTTTCATGGAAAGAAAAATAATACCGTAGAACGAAACGTTTTGCGTCAATTAGTAATGATACCATACTAATAACATTTCCATTTATATAAGGAAAGTCAAAAACGTAATTCGCTACATCGTGGCAATCGTGGCATTCGTAGGTAGTCCTTTTACAAATCAAGGTCTTCGGTTATCTTTATTTCTGAGAGAAGGTAATATCCAAATTGAATAGTATCATAATTTATTGAAAATAATGTAAAATTAAAAAATTCTGAAATAAAAGGTAAGGATAAAAAAAGTAAAATATTTTTTTTACGTGTTGCGTTGCTCTAAAATTCGCATCTATGTCTTATGAATACTATCAATAAAAGAAACTGGCCCATGATGGAAAGTCTATCCCAATAATTTTCATTGTACCCTTTTTAACTAAAGACAAATAAATCAAGCATCAATTGGAGGAATTCCGTTTACAAGTATGGTATCACTAAGAATGTCAAGTCAATCTTGAATAAAAACAAAAGGTGAAGTTTACAGGGTGTCTAGGTCTACTACAATTTATTATGTTCTCGCTACAGTGAGTGCAACAGACGTGTCGGTTTAAGTGCATTTTAAAGCATTATTAGAAGTTCTTGCATCACCTACTGGGACTTGGCAGGTATTGGCCTTATAATATTTCGTATCGTATTCTAAATTTTCCGGTACTGTATGTAAATAGAAATGAAACCTAATTTCTAAAAAAAGAAAAGAAAGGACTTGATTTGTAATTAGTTAACTTCATTTTAACTTTTAATTGTTTTTCAACCAATATTAGTCTGTTTAATTTTTAGGAATGATACATAAAATCATTTATGATGCTTATTTGTGTTCTAATTAGTTTACTTACTTAATAGAAATCTAATTTATCACTGATTTATGACAATCACTATTTTACTTAACTATATTAAACCAAATGAGTTTATGTGTATGTAACAAAAAAAGAGGGAAAGTTATTAGATAATTATGTATGCTAGAACAAGTCTATATCTTACGGTATTATCACAGATTTATACAACATGGAGGTGGACGAGTATGTAGAGGATGGTGACCAGCTAAAGGCAAGGCCTTACCAAGCCCAACTTGAAGAAATTGCTGTTAAAAACAATACTATCATTTATTTACCAACAGGTTTGTCAAAATACATTGTTAAAACTAAATACCAACTTGTTATTTATTTATTTACAAATATCTGTAAAAGAGTAGGTACTTTATGAATCTTCAAATAAAATGCAACTTTTATTATTTATCCGCAGGTAAATTGCCAAATAAAGTAAAAAAATATATATTTGGTCTCCAGTCATTGGCATAAATTATCTCTGTTTTGTAAAAAGATCTCATTTTAATCTTGAGAATTTTAATTATTCTTGATTTGTACCTACTGCGTTATTTACTCTTCTCATATTTAGTTTAAGTACTACCTATTTGTAAAATATAAATTTGAATGTTATAGTTATGTAATATTGTAATATTATAAAGATTAATTCTGTTCAGTGTCCTTCATGAAACCAAGTTAATGTAAAATTTTACATAAAATCCAAAAATTAAAAAATTAACTTTGTTTTAGGTTCTGGTAAAACATATATTGCAGTTTGTCTCATTAAAAGATTCCGTCATGCATTACAAAAACCGTGGGGACAGGGAGGGAAGCGGTCTTTCTTCCTGGTCAACACTGTACCATTAGTAAACCAACAGGTAAGGTGCAACTTTTATTTAACAACATGCACATACTATTTATGTATGTGCATATCCAGATATACAATTGCTATATATTAATGCTTTAGACTTTTTACCAGGCAATAAAAACTCATATTTTTTTGTCTCATAGTAAGTAACCCTTTTACTCTCACAAGGTTTAGGCTAAGGCCAGGTGTACACTCTCTGTACTTTGTTTGTAAATGTTTTATTCAGTTTTTTACCAGTTTATGAATCCCATATGATATGGTTATTTTTTACCATACTACACCAGAAACAATCCTTACACTATCCTTAATTTAAAAAAATTGATGTTCAGCTTTGCATGACACATGAATCTAATAGTACATAACATTGGCTCACCCAATAAACTAGGCAGTTCCAATTTTATCATAAATAAAATAAAATAAATATAGTTATTCCTATTAATAGTAGCTATTGTATAACTTTATCATATGGTTAAGTATAATTATGACGGCTCTATTATCAGTTGACTCATTAAGTTATATCAGTAGGTACATAATATGCATGTATATGTGCATTGTCTATTTGTTAAAATAGAATAAAGAGTAGTTAAGTTCGCCAGTTTCGAGGGATCGCCATGAATGTAAGTTACTGAAAACAGTAAAGGGAATTTTTCAAGGGCATTTCGTAACATGGACGCGAATAGGCGAACTTACCCTATGTACAAATCTATCTATTGCTAACCAAGCACCAAGTAAGAGTGAATAAATAGTGTGTTTTCTATTATTACAACTTGTTTTTGTACATTTGTTTTTTATCATTGTCATTTGATAAATCCGAAATTAGTATAGGTACCAATATCTTAATTCATTCTGGATATAATCGATTTGGAGTTTACACAAAAATTCAATAGAATTAATGTTCAACACCAATCTCAAGTCTCGACATAAAGATTTTAATTGATATCGGTTATTAATTATAGCCATAAGTTACGTAATACTTAGTTATTAGTTACACATTGTTTGGGTCGTGCCAAGTCGAGTACTGACGTGTTCCATCATGTCCCCGGATGACGTGTCCCTACCCTAAGCGCACAGCTCCGTAAGTACTCGAGCTCAACGTTGCATTGGACAAGATTTCTATAATTTATTCGTTATTGCGTCATATGTTCTCTCTAACTAAAAGTTTACTTAAATATAGTAGAACTAGCGACCCACCCCGGCTTCGCACGGGTGCAATATACATGTACTACCTATACGTATAAATAATAACTCTATCTATTTAAAAAAAAAACCGCATCAAAATCCGTTGCGTAGTTTTATTATAGATCTAAGCATACATAGGGACAGACAGACGGCGGATATCGACTTTGTTTTATACTATGTAGTGATTAGTACAGAGTAGATTAGATTACCTACTAGACTAGAGTATTCTCCATTTTCGCTTTTATTGTTAAGATTATTTACAAAGAGTAGGATTACCTACTCTACATCAATTTAATAGAAAGCATTGTAATTAAATGATGACGACTGACAAAGTCTCCGTAAGGCGAGAAGGAGTGTGATTTATTAACTAAAAACCATCTCTTCCTAATCCAGTTTCGAACTCCAGTTCGAAGCCGAAGCCCTGGCAAGTGATAGGTATAGTTAGTTAATAGATAAGTAGTGGTCCGCCCTAGCTTAACCTGAGCATTATGCAGATGATCCCAGTTAATCTTGATTTTTTATATTATTATAGGTATGTATGTGAAAACCTTGTCCTGACAGTCAAAAGAGAAATTTTTATGGTGGAAGATCTATCCAATTTGGTTCAGTAGATATTTCGAGAGTTATAATGCATACATACATACATTTAGGTGATTATTTATTTAAATAATCAAGTGTAATGGGTATTTATTTGTTGACCCAGTTAATTGTACCTACGGGAATAGTGCACACACTGTTGCCAGTCAGTATCGCCACAGACTTAAGATAAAAATAACTATTGAAACGTGCTTTAGAAGTTGGAACAAGAATAATGTTTAGGTTTAGGGTACAGAATGAATCATACTGTTTTGTTTACAATCGTTAGTGGTTCAAAGTGTTTAACAATTCATTGTTTTGTTTCGTAATGTTTACGATAACTTGCTGGATATGCTTAACGTTATCTTGTTACATCAAATTCACTGTTGAACCTTATTCCCATATTTGTAAAAGCTATTTTTGAATAGTGTGAAACAAAAATGTAATTCAAACAATAAAATTATTTAGTTGAACGTGTATGTGTACTGGTCACTGGTTTTTCGTACTTTGGCTAGTTCTTATCAAAATATTGCATAGCATTATGTGTAGTTTTTATTTAACTTATGTAAACTTCAAAGATACGAGCTCGAAACACTATAATATTTAGAATATTATATTATGTAGAATGATTTTCTTTAAGGGTTATAATTATATGCAAAAGTTTGCTCATACATCTTCTACAAATACTTATAATATAAACTAGCTACTTGCGCGCGGTTTCACCCGCTCTACTCGGCTCCTTTTGATCGTAGCGAGATGTTTTATAGTCTATAGCCTTCCTCCATAAATGCACTATCCAACACAGAATTATTATATTCGAATCAGTAGTTTCGGAGATTAGGGCGTTCAAACAAATAAACAAAAAAACAAAACTACAAACTCTTCAGCTTTATAATATTAGTATAGAGGTAGATTATAACTCAAGAATGGCTTGAGCGATTTGGTTGAAAATTGGTGAGGTAGTTTAGAACCCGAAAACAGAAATAGGATTTTTTTCCTAAGAATTTTCCAAAAATTCCTTAGGAACGGGAAAAACGGGATGGCGCGTACGAAGTCGCGGGCATAAGCTAGTATTTGATAATGCACACAGGGTGAGCCTATTACCATACACCAAACAAAACACCGAATTCCTTGTCTTCCTCCCTTGAAAATCCGTAAAACTCCATTAATATTACCAGACCTGGGAATCGGACCCAAATCCCAGCGTTATCGGCAGGGCGACCAAAGAGGCAGTTAAAACTCTTATTATTCAGTTTTTTATTGAACACATTGACATACCTAATTATTTTATTTTTGTTATAGAAAAAGGTAATAGAACATCGATGTGCCGTCAGTGTCGGTGGTTACAGCAGTGAAGATGGGGTAGATTACTGGGATAAAGCCAAATGGGACACTGAACTAGAAAATAATCAGGTACGTATTAAATATAACATAACATAACACAAGCCACACTATCGTATTGCATTAGTCTGTAATGGTAGTTGTTAGCATTAAATAAATAAACAAAATAAATATAAAATACCCCTAACAAAATACTTATTTGCATGTTACGTCTTAAATATCTTTAAACTTTAAAAATATTAGGTATTAGTTCCATTAATGTAGCACTGTTGCAAGCGCCACGTTCATTATCAAGGACATAGCCCAAGTTGTTAGTGATCAGAATTAATTATGTTCAACACTTAACCTATTCAAGTTATTGCTTGATTCAGTAACAACTCGACTAATTTCAAGCCACTGGGGGCTCAAAATAATATTGTACGATACGATAAGGCCAGCGTCGCGCAGCCAACACTCATACTTTTATTTCTTTAGAAATTGCACAAATATTAAAGTGTAAAACCCACATTTCCCTAGTTATGTTATGAATTCCATGTATTGAGGGACATGACTATTATTATACATTCCTGAGAAAATAAATAAACAAAGTTCTTAAAGGTTCGTTCTTTCGACCTCGAACTTGACTCTTACTTTTTTTACCTAACAAACCTCCTTGAAAAATTTTGTAAGTAAATACTACGACAAATACATAACATCACGCCTTTTATCCCCGAAGGGTTAGGCAGAGGTGCACATGAGAGCAGTTAATGCCACTGTACAATGTAACACCCACTTTTCACTATTTATGTTATAAGTCCCATGTAATAGGGGGTGAGCCTATTGCCTTATACCGGGCACATATCTAGACTCCGTGCTACTTCTGAGGTTTTTAAAAACCCAGTAATACAAGGTGTTGTTTTAAAGCCGCGTCATTTTCTAGGAAGTAACTCGGATATCGATCTGGAGTCCGAATCAATAAAAAAAATTGTAGGTAAATATTTTTCATTTTTCTGAAATTACGGAAATCCGTAAGAGCGAACTACGCGCCGCCGTCTTGTAACTAGCTTTATAACGCGGCTTAACACACACAAACTCAAAAACGTAATTGATATTATTCCTAATTCCATAAAACTCCAATAAGAAACATTGCTGTCGCTTATTCTGAAATTCTGTCGAACTTAAACGATTTATTATAGCCGTATTTTTAACAATTGGCCCGAAATTTTCTCTTATATTGAACCTTTATGACTTCTGTGACAAGCCCCCGAGAAATGACACGGTTTTAAAACTACACCTTGTATTTTGCCTCGATTCGGGAGTCGCACTTGCGACCACTCGGCCAATGAGGCAGTCTACTACTATGATAAATATTGGCATCATATCTATTAAAACTACCACGTCGGTCCGACTGACGTTTAGCGGAGGCCTTCAACAGTTTTCTGTCAGCATTCAAGGGCTAAATAAAAAAAAAAATAAAAAACTATTATTAACTAAAAATGACGGTTTACTACAACGCAGTAGGCTGAGTAAAATCCCTGTGATTGCACACGCTGATCTTGAGGAAGAGTCCCTCTACGACTCGAAACTAGTAGAGCTTTTCTCAATATATGTATTTATGTGAATAAACCGTTATTTTTAGTCAATACAGTATGTCTCACGATACTATCATTGTTGTACTCAACTATAGTTGAATTTATAATAATTATTTCAGGTAATTGTAATGACCACTCAGATTCTATGCGACATGTTGACCCATCAATACATTAGAATTGAAGACATAAACTTCATAATATTCGACGAATGTCACCACGCGGTCGTCGATCACCCCATGCGGATCGTTATGAAACATTTCGAGAACTGCCCGAAAGATGAACAACCTCGAGTCCTAGGTAATGTATGAATTGAGCTCTATACTAATTACTACTTTATTAAGAAATCTGAAAATGTACATGCAAGTAGGTAAATTACCTGTATATGGTTGGACTATGTGGTGACGATAGAATACAATTCATTTTCATAACCTATTTCCGTGGGTATCGTAATAGCCGCTATAGTTCAAAGGCCAATAATTCAGCAGTGAGAGCCGTTATAGATAAGAACCGTTGAAAATACAAACACTTATAATTTTGTTTGTTTTAAAGTGACATCATTATTACCCTTCATTTCTCACCTTTGGCGATCGCTTAAACTATGTTATATTGCATTTAATTTTAATAAAAACAGACTCTATATAACAAAGTTATAAGATTGAGAATCTTTTACAAAAATAATGCTTTTATAGTTTTCACAAATATGGCATGATATCTCATCACTCACATTTCTCCCTGCTTAACTTCTGCTAACGACTTTATTCCACAGATAAAATGTAGCCCATGTGTTATACCAGACTATCTGTGACAAGTTTTACATAAATATGTTCAGCAGTTTTTGCTTAACGAGTAGCATTTAGCAAACAGGTTTATCCATACAAACAAATTTTAGCATTTATAATCGAAATACTTTTTCTCCTTTTTCAGGTTTGACAGCGACTCTTTTGAACGCAAATGTAAAGACATCAAGAGTGGAGGATACGCTCCGCGAGTTAGAGATAACATTCCACGCAAAGATTGCCACGGTTGATGAGCTGGGACAAGTTTTAGAGTATGAAATGCTTTATTTAATAATGTGCTGATAGAAATTCAACCCTATTCCCTTGTATGTAGACTGATATTTGAATTATTATAAGTTCAGTTCATTTTTTTAAGTTTTAATAAGTATTAAGCACTTTTATAATAGGAAAACAATTGACTTTGACCGATCGTAAAATTTATAAGTTGTGTGTTATTGTTAGTGAAAATTGACAAATTCAAAACTCAGTAATATTTTGTCGGAAGTAGGACCTATTACATACCGGCAATAGTAACTTTTTGAAAGAGAAATAATATAATAATTACAAAAAAGACCTAACTAGCAACACCCATTTTCTCAATGCCCATTTAAACTGTCAAACACCAAGCGGTCACCGGTGACCGCAACCTATTGTTTTATAATTGTGTCTATAATGACGGTGCTCGACGAGTTAAATGAATGAATTGCACACGAAATTCTATCACGCAAGAATCTATTACTTTATATTTAATTACATTGAAAATTCCAGCTATTCTACGAATCCAAATGAAATGGTGCAGTTCTACCGAAGCCTGGCACCGTCAAACGTGTCCAATGACGTCATCACTCGCCTGACGAAACTACAGCTACTAATCAATGAAATTAAGTTGCCTAACCCTTCTCCAACCCACACTAAGCAACTAAAAGATTGGCAGAAAGAAATGTCTACTAATCCGACGAAGGTATTTGATTAAATTCTTTATTTCTCACGATCAAAGTCTTAGTCTTGCCACTTTAGCGCTTGTCTACAGAGAGAATAGAAATCAAAATGTATGGAGATGACACTGACAAGTGTCAAAATTTACGTCAATTCCATATAATTTGGTTTTCTATTCTACTTGTAGACAAGCACTAAATGGCATTTGGCTACAGCTGCAGGACCGATTTTGGTCTTGAATTGGCTTGAACGACGGAATACGTCCGCCGGCGTGTAGAGGAGGCTAAAGTCATCGAAACAAATGAAACATCTATCTTTTGGTAGTTATGTTATATGGGTACATAATAATTACCAAAAGGTGAATGTTTCATTTTCGTAGGATGTTACTTTATCTATTCCTTTGGGCAATAAAACGCGCGATTTTATGTTTTTTTTACAGATAGTGAAAGCAGTGAGGAATATGATAACGGCCATAATAATTTTTATAGAAGAACTAGGTCTTTACGGCGGTTCCTTGGGCATATTGTCGTACATAATATTATTAGAACGTTTGAAGCGAAAAGCTATAACTAAAGAGGAGGAACTTTTATATAAATTGGCTATTACACATTGTGTAGAGTGAGTATGTCTATATATCTACTAGAGCGGTGCTATCGGGGTAAAAAGTAGTCTTACTGTGTTGTTTCAGACTGTAATCGATTATTTGAAATCAAGCTTATATAGGTACCTATGTCGTGGTGGCCCGGAGGTTTAAGGTGCCTGCTTCTCATGCATAAGGGTGCGGGTTCGAAACCTACCAACGGCAAGTACCAATGTGACTTTTTCCGAGTTATATGTACTTTCTAAGACTATCTAGACACCACTTACAAACGGCGAAGGAAAACATTGTGAGGAAACCTATTTCTAATTATAAGTTTGTAATCGCCAACCCGCATTGAGTAAGCGTGGAGATTAATGCTCTAACCTTCCCCGTGTGAGAAGAGGCTTTGCTCAGCAGTGGGCATTTATAGGCTGTTGATAATGATGATGATGATGATTATACCTATAGGTAGTTTTTTCTAATCATCAACAGCCAATGACAGTTCTCTGCTGGACTATGGGTCCTCTCTACAAAGGAAGGATTTGTTATTGTCTCCACACTTGCCAGGTGGATTTTAGATCAGGATCAGAATTATCATTCTAATCCTTTTTATAGAGAAATAGCACTGTTACTGATTTCTATCTTACTAATCGTACTGATATTATAAATGCCAACTTACCCAGCGGATTAGCAAGTAAACGTGGCAGTGGGCATGGCACATATCGCGGAGAACCGACGGCCGCTGGGGTAGAAAGGATCTCGAGTGGAGGCCACGTACCGGCAAGCGCAGCGCAGGACGTCCATCTGCAAGGTGGACAAATGACCTGATTAAGGTCGCAGGGAGCCGCTTCCAACAGGCCTATCTGGAAGTCATTGGGGAGTATGTTCAGCAGTGACTGATATGAATATATGACAATGATGTTGATTGTAAATGCGAAAGTTTGTTACTCAATCGGATTTGGATGTGGAACAGGGATAGATTATGGTCTGGCATTTTTTTTCTTAAGGGGGGAAAATCATCGAATGACTTCTCCCACCTGAGTGAGGCGGGAGGGAGTGTCAAACTCTAACTGACTAAAAACCACCCCGTTCCTACTCCTGCACTTCGAGCCGGAGCCCCGGTTACCCGTTAGGTTCTCCGCGACATGGTCTGGCATAACACATAAACTACTTTTTATCCTAAAGCAACGTGGAGGACAGAAGCTAGTTAAACAATTTTCTCTAATACACTCACATAATTATGTATGTATGTATTGCAGTGCACGCGCCATGTTATTAACAGCAATGGAATCGGAAACTGGATACGCGAAAATAGTAAAATATTCATCGGAAAAAGTATTGCTGATGTTGAATATATTGAAAGAATACAATCCAACTACAATGAACACTCCCGGAGGTGAAATATGACTTTTATAATTAATTTCTACGTAAAAAAATAGAACAAAAATATACGTAAATAACTTTTCTTATGCGGCTTCACATAAGGTTATTAGGACTACAACGAAAAAGTAAAGTAATACATAGTTTTACTCTAAAAAAATGCGCGATTTCGAATTCCGTGGAATCTATTTCGTTTCGTCCCAAAGTAAAATGGTATTGGTAATACAATGGGTTTACAAAGAAATATAATATTTAAAAAAAAATTAACTGGTGAACCATTGCAAAAAGCAGACTTCGAAAGCGCATACGAACTCGTAGTACATTATAAAAAACATCATCACGCCATGTAATTCGCGAACAGATATTTCTCGTCGGTTGGCACGTCCGAAAATAGTGCATACAACTTTGCATTTAGTGTTTCATGTGCTTATTTCCATGATTTTTTTTTATGTAAAAAATGACATTGTTATTTTTTGTTGTTTCCACTTTATACTTTTTTTTTTTTTTTTATGCCATAAGCCGGTAAACGAGCAGACGGATCACCTGATGGTAAGCAATCGGCGTCGCCCATGGACATCTAGAACACCAGAGGCGTTACAAGTGCGTCACCGGCTTTTTGGGGATTAGGAGTTTGAGGATCGTTGGGGATTCAGGGATTGGGGAAATTGGGGAAGGGGAAGGTAATTGGGCCTCCGGTAACCTCACTCACACGACGAAACACAATGCAAGCGTTGCTATACATGGAAAATACGCCTTATGGCAAGTTGTTTTGTCGCGGGAAGAAAATGAAATAGATTTCACGGTGTCTAATCTAAACGTGTAAAGTATTTCTTTTTGCAGTACTACTGAAAGTGAATAAAAATCGAGGGACTCTATCAGCCATAATATTCACGAAGCAAAGGTTTACAGCAAAAGTTTTATATAATCTTTTGAAGGACGTGAAAGATACAAATCCTGAGGAGTTTGGTTTTCTAAAACACGATTTCGTTGTTGGTTTCAACGTCAACCCGTTGAAGAACACGAGAGAAGAGTACTATGTCAAGAAATGTAGTCATAAAGCGTTATTGAAGTTTAAGAACAAGTAAGTACATTGACTACCTCTTGGATTTTCTTACTCTAGACTCTAAATCGTAACCATCCTATGGTGGCCTGCAAGAGATCACGTTAAGCGATAAGGCCGCCCATTGTACAGCTTAATGCCTAAATGTGTGGTGTATTTTAGTTAAATTTATTATTACAGTGATTTGAACTGTTTGATATCGACGAGCGTTATAGAAGAAGGAATAGACATACCACAGTGTCTGTTAGTAATGCGCTACGACCCGCCCTTAGAGTACCGGTCGTACATACAGAGCAAAGGTTTGTTTCAGTCTCTCTCTATCTCTCTCTCTCTTCCTGTCCTACATCATCGCCCTCTCTCTCCCTCACACACTCATTCTCTTTCTCCCTCTCTTATATTGCTATTTCTCATTCTCATTTACTCTTTCCCTTTTGTATTTAAAAAAAGAATAAAGAAAAATAGTTTATTGGTACTGTGACACTAAAATACAAATGATAATCCCTTTACACCTCACTCTTGCTTATCTCTCGTCATATGCTTTAATATTTCTAAGTACATAGTAGTCGAGTGTTAAAAAACGATGTGTTCTAGGCCGTGCGAGAAGTAGTAAGTCAAATTTCGTTCTATTGGTCAATGTAGAAGAAAAAAAGAAGTTCATGAAAATGTATGAAGAGTTCCAGTATACAGAGAGAGTGATACAAAGGGTATGTATGTGTGACAATATAATAATATGTTGTTAATGATTTTTAATTTATTTGGTAACTAGAGGGTGCTAGTGTGGTATATGGTCTTATTCAAAGTCTTACTTATAGTAAATAGCTACTTTTGCGCTGCTCGGTTCTTATTGATCGGTTTTTAGAGAGCAGAGTATAGTTCCCTAAATTGACCCAGGCGTGTTTGGAAGCAACCTTCACTTCACGGAGCAGATTAGTCATCCTTATCGCCATCTCTCTCATCCATCACTTCTCCGCTGAGCGGTAATCAAGTCGCAGCCAACCAGCATCCTCGGCCTTATCAGGGACCACCATCGCCTGCAACGAAGATCTGCAGTCTGGTTCTCACTACGAATAATTTAATTAAATTACGATTGGTTGGTTCACTGAAGCCGGCCAATCAGAGCGCCGAACGCTCTCGATACTATACGTTACGAATGCGATAGTAATTTGTGCTCAGGTCCCCTCCTCCTTCGAAAACCGACGTAAACGCTGGGTGAATAGATTTCCTGTTTTATTATACAATTTTATTCTATTTTATCTGACTTTCGTTTCAGATACTTGTTGGAAACTCTGACGATCGTTTAGAGCCGTCTACATCGGACATCACTCGTCAACTGTACAAGGACGAAGATGTACCGCCTTTTGTTACACCATATGGAGGTTTGTCCATTTATAATTATTAATAAACCCCCAGTGGTCACTAGTGACCGCTCTCCACTAATTACATTATAGACCTTATTTCCCATGTTTAGAGACTACTTTTGTATGAAGGAATTTAGGGTACGATTTTTATTTACATATTGTGTGTTAAATCCTTTTTGCTTATCTACGTCCAATTATCGTTGAAAAAGTTCCCTTAGCCTAATGGCCTTTGGTTAATTCCAGTTCTTCCTACTTTTGAACTGAAATTAACCTATAATCAATCATACTATGTAGCCATTCACTTCAATGCGTTTTATAGAAAGCTATCCAACACAAAAAATATATTCCTACTAGAATCTAGAAGGTTCTAGAAAGAAAAATCGTACCAATTGGCGTTCCATAGTCTCTGCCTATACCCATAGTAAACTGGCGTGAGGGTATAGATGTATATATGTAAATTTTCTAAGGTAAGCGCATTTAACGGAACAAACTATTAATAAATACAAATACATTACATA